AGCTGTAAATATTAGCGTAAGGGATCGTAGCAAAAAATGTATCACAGATGCATTTTGTGTAAAAGTTGGTTTTATCCCAGACTTTCCTCTTGGAAAAATAATATCCTCAACTTTTCCAGCATCTTGGCTTCAATGTAATTTTTTTATTTTTTTTAAACTGTGCATTTATAAACAATCCACATGATGGCAACACATTTAAAAATAAATAAAAATGAAATTGTAGATGCTAACAAAAAAAAGATAATTTACCCATTTTCGTCCATTTTAACAGACCACAAACAACGTCAATCAATAAAACTGAAACTTCCCAATCGCTTACAGCACACGGATGATTATCAGAGCGAAGAGTCAAGAAATAGAAAGCAGAAAACAGCGGAGACCAACTGCTGTTGGGGGTAAATAGTTGCATAACCCAACGCCGGAGACAGAGAGATGGAAAATGGATAAATCATTCAGCCGTGGAACGAACACCTGCTGATGCACCTCAGTACATCTAATTCATGTGTAAACCTGCTATTGATTTTTACATGTAGGTGATGTTTGTGTGTGTGTGTGAGCGGCGTGTTTGTGTGTGTGTGTGGGTGAAAAGACCATTCATTTTGTTTTTAAAGCACTAATGTCTTTCATCGTCTGCGCACTGACTGTACACAGTGTGTTTGAGGAACAGGTGAAAGCGCAGTTTTTATCAACATTTATTATTATTTTTCAAGTTAATGAAGAGTAAAAAAAGTCATCTTCAACAGGTAAAATGTCTCATAATGGACGAAAAAATAACAAAAAAAAAATCAATACTTTTTTTTAATTTATTTGAATGATTTTAATAACAAAAAAAAATCAATACATTTTTTTTTTAATTTATTTGAATGATTTTATCAATAAACCATTGACAGGAATGAAGAGATAAAAATCAGCAACTGACAGACTTAGCAACAGTAAATATAAATATTATTACATGCCTGATGGTTTTTCAACTATTAATTACTATAATGTAACAATAATTAAATACGGCGGAAAATAAAAGCCCTCGCTAATAAATCATTTTTATGCGAATCCTGCGTTAAAGTTAGTGTGAACACAAAAGTGTATTCATACACTTACATAGTAAATCAATACATAGTATTTACTAATACAGGGTTACATTTGTGAAAACAGCATAAGTTAATATATGCACGTGTGACATCTATGAAAATACACCAGTTTATGGCTGGATTCCTGTAAATCAGTCATTTAAATAACAACAGTAAAGGTCTAAGATTGAATCCCTGAGGAACTCCAGGAAATAAATCAGCTCTGTTTCAATTACTAAAGTACAGACACGAGAATATTTCTGTATCATATCAACAGTTCCAAGTGTGTGTGCTACTGTAACCATGCTAGAAACAGAGTTAAATCTAACAACTGAAATCAAAAACAACACACACTGAACCTTCTAAGGCAAACATGGGCAAACTAAGGCCTGGGGGCCGGATGCGGCCCGTTCATCTTTTTAATCCAGCCCGCCAAACTTTTCCAAATTATATAATTTATTTCTATCATCACTGTACTTCTGCCTTTTCCCTGCAATACCCATGTTTTCTCAATAGATGGCATAGAAAATGATAAAAGCATTTTAGCCTTTATGCATGACTTTTACATGTCATTTATCTTTGCCCACGCCTGTTCTAAGGTGATGACATCATCCGTGGAAATGAGGATCTCAGAATCAGTTTGTTTTGAGCTACTGCTTTAGTAATTATCTGATGTAATAACACAAATTCTAAAAGCAGTTAGCACCAGGATTTTATAGTAATTTTTAATAATCAAACCAAACCACCGCAGATTAAAGTACAGACTTAACACTGGAGAGTTCCAGGGACCTGGTGGATAGTTTTGCTGCAGGGTCTTTGGTCTACTTAAAGACAGCTTAGAGATGATTTATTGAGAGCTAAATATAGAATTGAGGTAATCAAAAAGGGATGACATAAAAACATGTCTAATCTTTCCCAGCTGAGGTCTGGGCACCACAGACCGGGGGCTTGGTTCTGTTCCACAGCTGGATGAAAGAAAAAAACCAGACCAGGATCAGAACGTCAATGCGCTGCACCAGGTTTATAGCTGCACCCGTAGGAACTGTTACATTTTACAGTGATGCTTCGACAGAGTCGTCCTCAGAACAACAAGTTATTTTTACCGCTCTGATATGTGTCCTCTCGTGGCCCACTGGTTTTGTTTTTAGACCTGCTGTGTCACTATCTTCACTCCTCAGCCTCCAGCGGAGAAATCAGGGACTGTTTCTAGTGGAAACACTCCTGTGATTCGACTTGACACAACCGACTCAGCACCAAACAGAGAGGAACGTGAAGAAGCTAAGGAAACTGATATTTATACCTTTTCCCCCATGGGTTGTGGAGAGTGGAAAAAAAACAGATTTTTTAGGAAAGGAAATACTCGACCTGCGAGAACTGAGTTCACAGGGACAGAACGGAAAACATAAATAAATAAACTAAAAAAAAACGTGGAAGTAGTTAGGTCCATTAGTGCATGGTGACGTCAGGTCATGAAACCAAATCTAGTTCTGCAAATTCTATCATTGTTAAATATCATTTAGCATTAAGAACACAGCAGGGTTTTCAAAGAGAAAATCAGTTATGAGCTCCAGCCACAGCAGACATTCTGACTCTCCATACAGAGCACAGTTATCACTGAAGTATTATTGACCATGATCTTCATGGTTGGTCAGGGTTTTCAGTAGAGGAAGTAAATATACACAACCAGGGCCGAAAATATAAATGCACTGCATCACAACCAAAAAAAGAGTCTTTTTTTAAAAAAACAAACAAACCCTAGTAATAAAATATATAAAAGCTAAGGAGTTTTAAGTTTTGTTTTTCATTCTTTTATTGAGAGATAACAAAGTCAGCTTAGCCAAAATCATTAAGAAATCACTTAAAGGTACAAAACGTATAACAAAGAAGAAAAAAAAAAGCTAGGTTAGCGGAATAATAGGTTAGCCCAAAAATGACGAATAGTCAAAATGCAGCTTAAATTTAGACCAAACATTACTGCTAGTTAACCAAAATGACTAACAATTTGGCAAGAGATAACAAATAATTGGACTAGGAATGAGAAAAACGTAGTCAAAATGTAGATCAAAAACAACTAGTAAAGATATTTTAGGCAAATGTAAACAATGACAATTATTAATTAAATAATTTAACACACCTGGTCCAAACCAGTGGATCCCAAAGACTCAATATCAGTTTTTTTTTATACCAGATTTTATTTTTCTTGTGCTTTTAGCTTTTTGTTAAAGTTAAATCGTTAAGTAGTTGATGGTAAAAAGGTGAAGTTAAATCATTGAAATAATAGTTCATGGATTTTGTTTCACTAGTCAATGGTATAATGTGAAAAAAATATTTTTTTTTCACTTGAATAATCAAGATGGATATCAAAACCACAGGTAACTTCATCGCCAAATCAAACTGTTCCTTCAAACACTGTCCAGTGATAACAACTGTTTTTCTGATGTGAGCCCACCCCCTCACCACAACCACCCCTCACTCTGACTCTCCCTCTGTGCATGTTCCAAGCCGTGGCCTTAAAATAATCCAGCGCCACATGGCAGCAGCGGCGGGGGAGAGATGAGTAGTTTGACCTTATCTGAGAAGGTGAGGAGGAAGAGGCTGTATCACACTGTGGAAAACTAATAATCAAGTGGTCCAGTAGTAAATGGGGTTTAAGATGCGGGGCGGGGGCCAGGGAGAGGGGAACATGGACTGTTTCTCTCCTAAAGTTTCCACATCCTGTCATTACAGAGTTGGACCCTGTACAACATCAGTGTCAGCGCAGATGTTACATTATTTTAAAACACATCTGAGGAAGTGGAACCAAAGTTTCCCAAGGTTTATGAGATCACTGGGTTTTTTAAAAATCTTTTTATATAATATTATTGTGAATGGGTTCATTCACAACCCTTCAAACGGGCTGACTCAGTCTTGGAGTTGGATTCATTACTTCTATTTCTGGGCTTTGTGTGAAATCATCCAACGCAGAAGACATTTACATATCTGCTGTGGTTTTTACCCAACTTTAGAAACGTACAGTGTTCCATGCCAGGTTCACAACCACATGAAGTCATGTGTGGGTGTCATCACCTTTACTGTTCCTGCTCTCTTATGTGGACTGAATTTTTTTTCCATAAAACAAGGAAGTTTCATTAGAAAGCAGAAATGTTAGAAGACTAAATGTAGCGTCAGGTGGAAACCAAATAGGTGAAGGTGTTTTCTGTGTTTCCTCCTGGACTGAAATCCCTCTTTGTGTGTTTTAGGGCCCGTGTGTGTGTGTGCAGCAAAAAAAACATTTCAAATATCTTTGTTAAAAAATTCAGTATATCTATCTATCTATCTATCTATCTATCTATCTATATATATATATATATATATATATAAATCATGGTCACCAAAAAGTCAAATTACCAAAAACCAGATGGCACACATTTACTTTCATACATTCATTCTGTTTAGGAAACGACATGTGGGGCAGTGCATGACTCAACTGAACCAGTGGAACAGTGCATTAGTTACAACATGACTTGATTCATTTCTGTTGTTTCAGTTCCGCTCCTCTCTCCGTCAGACACACACACACAGACACACACACAGACGCGCACACACAGACACACACACACACAGACACACACACACAGCAGTTTAATTTTATCAAACAGTCGTGGGAAACACATTCTGTGTTGCTGAGCCCAGATGTGTGTCAGCAGCGTAATGGTCCTGACACATGAAGAAGAGTGCAATAATACAATAAAATAAAGTTTGTTTATGATTATTATTTTTTATCATTGAATTTTTGGTTTATTTTATTTAATCAAACATTATTATTATTATTATTATTATTATTATTATATTGTATGTATTTATTTTAATGGTGCAGTGGCAGAACTGGGTCATTTAACCTTTTGATCATAGCATAGCATAAACACCAGTACTGTAAGTATGTGATTGACTCACTGGTACATGGAGCCAGGCCAGTCACTGTCGTCTGGTGATGATTCTGGTCCATGTGACAGCTGCCTGTAAGAGACACAACATTCTTAATCAAACAGACAACATCACTTTTTACACTGAAGCCGGGTCGTGAACCAACAACTCGTCCGGCTGTTCTCTGATTTAATGCTTCGAGTTTCAGGTTGTGGCTTTAGAAACTTCCAAAGTTCCATCCAAAAGAGTTCTGAGTATGTATACATGCACAGACTACATAATGGACCCTTGATGCACATCAACGACCCGTGTAACAATATTCTTATTTTACTGGATGTTAGTATTTTGAAGTTTTATTTATTGTACTTTCAATAAATGTTAATTGTGTCTGGATCACAACTTCAACGGTGTTTTAAATTGCGGCCCCTTGAGTGATGTAATACAGAAAGTTAAGGAATCTGCGAAGCTGAGTCATGAATTTTTTTTTTTTTTTGTCTGGGCTGAGGACAAAATAAAGGACGTTTTTATGAGCAGATCATTGAGGATTGGGAGGATTGAGCTTTTCAATAGACAATAAGCTCCGAGAGCTTTTTTTTTTTTTTTTAAATTTCCTCAAAATAAATCAAAAATGTTCTGAAAGTGGTGTCTCCATCAGAGAAGTTATTCACTGTAGAATTCTGTAGAGCGTCACTGACACCAGGTCACAACCTGCTTCTCTGCCTCAACGATTTCCTCTAAAGGGTTTTTTCAGTTTTGAAAAAAAAACCAAAAAAATCCCCAAACCCAAATCCTTCAAAACCGGTTTAGTTTTGGAGGGTTAGGGGATTTTCTGATCAAATAAAAGGTAACAAAGTTCATCACCTGATCTGAGACGTCATATAATAATAAAACTTTCTCTGATAAAAGTGGTTCTCAGAGTGTGGGAAAACATTTAACCAAACAACGACCGCAGAAGAATAGGGTTTTTTTTCTGAACTCCTGTTGGAATTAAAACATTGTAGTTGCTATTGGGCAAATTAAATCATAATAAATATTGAATGTTTTGTTTTCTATTTGTTTAACTAATAAATAATATTACTTACAATATATTTTTTTCTTAACTGTTCGGGTGTAAATGTATGGACGTGCAATGGTTCCATGTGTCTTAGTATTTTTTGACTCAGCCTCTCACTTTTGATTCCTTGGGTCAGTAAAATACACCCAGTGTGATGTAACCTGTTTCTTTGTCCCACACATTCAGCTTTGAATCAAACTAAACTCATACAAACCACAGCTGGTGATGACACTGTAGCTAACGCTAACAAACAATTTCCCTTAAACTCCTTCTAAAAACAAGTTTTTCTTTTTACAAAAGCATTTCAAAAATACAAAATACAACTCTTTTAAGAAATGTAACTTACATATAACATTTATACCAACTGAGTTGAAGTGAGTACTAGTAAAATAGTTAAGAATTGGAGGGAACTAAACTTCATCACCTACCAGTCATGCTAGTGTTGCTCTTCCTGTGTTCGGCCAAAAGTGTCCCCCAGGGAACAAACACCTATTTATGGTTTCTGGACCAACCTTACCTCTTTATCTTTATCTTTATATTTAGTCTTTATTCTATTTTATCTTTACTAACACTAAGTTTCACTTTGTATGTTTACAACAAAATATATTTGTAAAATAGATCTTCACTATCTGCCACACAGTGTTGTTGTTGACAAATAAAATCATTGCTGAACTGTAGTTGAGCTAAAGTGATTCCTTAGCACACCTGCCTCTCATCCCAAATGCTCTGAACTCAACTCCCAGACACCATAAATTCAAGTTGTTATTATTAAAAAAAAAATAGAATTAAAAAACATTAATACACAATTCTGCTGCTCTTCATCTTGTTGTTGACGTTCCTGTAATTCCTGTTTTACTGCAATTGTCGTACAGATACAAAAACCGAATACGACCCAAATTACTCTTGTAAAAAATAAGCTATAGTATATTAAAATGTATTTTCTCAATACATTTTAACCAAATTGTCTCTTGACCCAGTTTTTCATTTTTTGGCCTCAGCTGTAATTAATTAAAGCTCTGGTGCAGCATTAATACAAACACACTTCGTTTATCAATTTAATTTGTGGCTGATTAATATTTAATTACAGCATCAATGTATGGATGTATGATTTTTTTTATCCTGTCATATTTATCAGGTTTACAGACATGACGATGAAACATTCTCGTTGGATATTAGTAAACAGTACACAGTGTGTGTATTTTCTGACTCCTCAGACCAGTCACAGGTTTCTAAAATTTGGAAACCGTTGTGTGTCTATTTCTGTGGGGGTGGTCTATATATAGACCTGACCCGTCCTGGTTACACTGCTGGGATGAAGACATTCTATTAAAATTCCACTTCCTTCCTTTCTCCTTTCCTCCCTGTCTCTGTCTGCCAGCCTCGCTGACGACACCCACTCTGGTCACAGCGTTTATGATGGGAAACTTGACCAGGACTGGAGCTGGAGTCCAGGTTGGTGCACGTGTCGCGTGCGGCGTTAGCTGAGAGCATCCAGAACGTGAGTTGAACGGCGACGTTTTTCGACTGTCGACCTGCCGAGGGTCAAAAGGACGGGCCGATCTCTGAGGTCGGGATTAATCAAGGCTTAAGCCTCTGAACTGCCGGACAAATGAGAGAGTAAAACCAGGAGGGACCAGCTGGCTGGAGTCACATCACTGGTCCTCACAGTTCCTGGTGCCAATAACAGATGTTAAATTCACAGTTAAACGACAGCACGTGTTTCAGACTCTTCTTCTCATGTCGTCCAACCTCAGCTACAGCAGAGCTGGTGCATAAAGTCAATGAAATGAAATGAAATTATAGTATAGTATAGTCTAGTATGGTATGGCATGGCATGGCATGGCATATTATATTATATTATATTATATTATATTATATTATATTATATTATATTATATCATTTGACCTACTGTCTTTGTTGTTTCACCTGGAGTGGGATTAATGAGGTATTTTTCTTATTTAACATCGTCTCCAAAATGTTAGCAGATAAAGTAGAACTGGGTAGTAGATGTTCTGGAAGGTTCCTTAATTAAAATGACAACGGGGTGGCTGTGTGGATGTAGTATGAGTTACTGTGAATCACTGTGAACCACTGAAGTAGCTCCGTATATTAAGATGATAACACTTTGCTTACGTCACATCCTGGTGAGGAAACCAAAGTGGACAAGAGTTCCAGATAAGAGACCTTCAGATTGAAGGAAACAGCAGCAGCCGTATTTGGAACAGCAGGAGATGGGAGATCTAAGCAGGAAGTGTAAGCTGGCAGGTTATGGAGGTCTCATGTGACGGGTGTGTGGGGGTGGGGGGGGGTCTCTCCATTCTAAAACCTCAGCCCGAGCTGTGATATGGTTTACACGGATGAAGGGGGGAAGGAAACTTGAACAAAAGGATTCGGTGAAGGAATCCAGATCAAGAGTGGAACGGTTTTTGTCATTGTGTACGTTTTGTCATATCAGATGGGGGGGGGGGGGGGGGTGTTGACACAGACATGTCCAACAGGGAATGAGACAGACAGGACACAGGGGAAAAAAACTGAAAGAGGATTTGATCATTTGTTTTGGAGGAAGAACCCGGTGTTTGTCAGAGCAGATGACGGCTGATAAAGAAGATTAGTTTCTGGTACTGTTGCCTCCAACGGCTCTTCAGACTGATCATCCACCTTTACAGACCGCTCCTCCATCTGTTTCCTCTCACCCCTCACCCCCTCACCCCCAAAGACCAAACCCTTCCTCCCATCACTACTTTGTTTTTTACAGTACAAGTAAATCAGGAATAGTATTTATGCAGTATAAATTCACAATAACAACAAGGAGAATATGTTTTTATAACGTATGCAAAATTTGAAATTATTCAGAGAGATAAATTCTATCCCTGAAAGGACACAGTAAAGGAGAGAAAAAGTTTAAAAGCCTGATTACAAAAGTTACCAGTTACAGAAACAGAGCAACAACAACAACAACAAAAAAACTTAAAAAATTATAACAAAAATAGTTTGAGTAAATCTTCCAACCAAAGATATTTATAACTCATAGCAAAATTGCTAGCAAATGGCTAATGGAAAGCTAAAAAAATGTAGGTAAGGGTCTAAACAATTCAATGCTAATTTGAAGCTATGTTGCTA